AATGGAATCAAATATTTAAAATATTAAGTGAAAAAAACTACCAGCCTACAATAATGTATCCAGCTAAGCTCTCCTTTAGATAAGAAGGGGAAATAAAGACCTTTCCAGACATACAAAAAATGAGGGAATTCTCCACTATGAGGCCTACATTACAGGAAACACTGAAAGGGGTCAGCACACCTAAAACAAAATGACAAAAAGAATACATAATTAGGAGTAAGGTGATTATCAGGAACATAGAAGCAGAGGAGTGCATTCCTTACTAAGAACAGGGCATTATAAGCTTAAATAATAAGAGAATTGCTATCACAAGATAGTAAGGAACGTTCAGCATACATAGGAACAAATTGAGATCACAATGACTGATGTTATAACAAGATAATAATGAATGTTCATCATACATAGGGACAAATTGAGACAAAAATCACTGAAAAGGAGGAGGATTCAAAGATCCAAATTCGCAAAGGGGAATGGAGATAAGGCACAGGCAGAAGAAAATGGACGACAGTATATATATAACTATCTTCTTCATATTTGTAATGGTAACCACACACCAAAGATTCAGAACTTAAGTTTATAATGTAAAAAAAGGACCAGAGGGAAAACCCACAAAAGCCAACCAAAATGAAGAAAACAGAAACACAAGGACAAGGAAGCAATGAAAATACTGTGCTACCAGAAAGCAAAGGATAAAATGGCTGTAAGAAGACCTCATATTTCAATAATCACCCTAAATATAAATAGACTGAACTCACCAATAAAAAGGCAAAGAGTTGCAGAATGGATCAAAAAACAAAACTCAACCATATACTGCCTCCAGACAAATATATACTCAAAGTGAAAGGATGAAAAATGACATTTCAAGCAAATGGCATTCTGCGAAAAGCAGGAGTAGAGGTACTAACATCGGACGAAATACACTACAAAATAAGAAAGGTAAAGAAAGATACGGAGGGACAATTCATATTGATAAAGGGACTCATCCATCAAAAAGACATAACATTTATTAATATCTATGCTCCCAATCAGGGAGCCCTGAAATATATAAAGCAATTACTAAAAGAACTAAAGAGAGAAAGAGACCAAAACACTATCATAGTAGGGGACCTAAATACCCAACTGTTGGATATAGACAGGTCATCCAAACATAAAATCAATAAGGAAATAACATCCTTAAATGATAAATGACACATCAACAACTGGACATAAATGACATATACAGCCTCACATCCCAAAACAACTGCTTATACAATCTTCTCTAGTGCACATGGAATATTCACATACTGGGACACTGAGATAGTCTCAACAAATATAAGAGGGTTGTGAA